GGTGGAGATGTCGGAGTCTCTACTGGCTGACGAGCGAGTTTCTCCCCGTCATACACTGGGGGAGATTAAATGTGAGACACGGGGTCCCCGGAGTTCCGGGAAGCTACACATGATTAGTAGTGGGTGCACCTTCCCGTGTTGCGGCCCGCTCCTTCCTGCACGATGCGCCATTGAAACTACAAAATATGTCGAACATTAAAAAAACCCCTGTACAAGGTATGCTAAAGCAAAGTGCTCTGGACTTTGGAAAAAGTCTAATCGACTATGAGGGCCGAACACTTAGCGAAAACGAATCAAACAAGGAAGACACGCAAAAAAGTACGGACACGGAAAAAGAATCGTATGAAAGCGTACATGCGCCGAGATTCTCATTGTCTCGCAGTTCGATCGGCCTACAGAGTCAACCACCGCCTCCCAATACTCCACGTGAGGAGGGGAATATCTTCCGAACTCCAGTGGGAACAATTACGAAGAGCAATCTAAAACAGTCAAAAAGAAAGAGAAGTAATGAGACAAAAAAATCATCGGGCAAACGAAAGTCGGACGATAAAAAGGAAAAGAGATTAAATTACTCTGCAAACGAGTCAGAGGATGACTCCCTCTCCGAGGGAGATGAGAGTGAATACTCGGTTGACGCTGTAAATCAGCCAGACGCAGCTCTCATAAGTTCACTTCTTGAATGCGTCAAAGAAATCGAAATTGTAAGGACAAGATCCTCAAATTTACAAGGAGGATATCAGAAAAAACTAAAAATAGCAGAGAAAACAATCAAAGAGGTAGGCTCCGAACTAGCCGGTAGGCAAAATTGAAAGGACACAATTAGGAACATCCAATTAAGACAGGAAAACAGCAAACTCAAGGAGTACATAAAAGTACTAGAAAAACGCATAACAACCTTAGAGAACACTGTTCTCAAAGAAAAAAAAGACGAAGGGAAAACCCTAACCACAGAGGACCACCAAGATCGTTTTAACGATCTTAAAGCAAGCTTCGAGAAAAAGATGTCAGAATTTAAGACAGAGATAAGAGAACTCCTGTCTATAAACCTGACAACTAAAAATAGTTCGCAAGAAAAGGGATATAATACTGTTAGGGGATAGGTGGCCCTTAACGGGTCCGGAATCGAGGGACGAACACGAAAAGAACCGGACACTGATTTTCACCGTTTTTTAAAGCCGTTTATTTAACTTGTAAGGTCCCTAGACACGTCGTACGTCGGGCCTGGAGTCCGGAATAACCGGGGAATGTAACGTCCCGTCCGTCGTCGGATTAGGAGGCGCCGTCCGTAGTCGTCCTTGACCTCTGTTCAAACTCCTCAACGTCTTCGACGTTCGGTATTCCTGTAATGTTGCAAATGCGGATTAATGAGTATTGCGTCGCACTTCAAGCTCGTGCGGAAAGAGTTGCCACTCCTGGGCAGAACTCTGCGCAGTGGACTGTATTCTTGTCTCGATCAGTGCAGCGGCTTTTCCAGCAAGTCCCTTGCCGTGAAACGGAGCAGAATCACGCTCAACGTTCGTCTCTCCACACCGCGTAACTGGTGGAAGCTCGTAGCAACGAGCTTCGAGACCTGACCCTATAGGGCGCGATGTAACTTACCGCACCAGGCCGGCCTCGAGGATGACGAACTGCAGCAGTGCGTTTAACGCAACGGGGCTGCCCAAGCCGTCAGCCGTTTCTAAATCAATCTTAGAGGTGGCCTAAGACGGTGGATTC